CGATGGATGGTTTTTTCAACAGCTGGTGCAATTCTTGGTTCATTTGCTTCCTTCACGTTCCGTCATCCAAGGGCGCGTTTGTCCTCCACGAGCATAGTCACGGTCTCTTGGCTGTAGACGACCACCGGTCTAATCAGCTTCTTTTAGATAGTCAACTTCGTGGCGAATTTTATTCGACCGGAGCGTCCTCCGGACTCCAAAGTAGGCACGATTCCCTGCAACAATGCGTCTTTGAATTTCTCTGCTGGTATCATTTTCGACAGTCACCAGTGAGCCCAAATACACGAACTCATCGACCACCTCGATTTCGTCACCGTCAATCTGAACTCGGGGTGGGAGGCTAACATTGTCTTCCCTAGAACCTCTTCCTTTCATGTATTTTGTGTTTGATGCGTTGATGGCAAGTCCAATCCGTCTAGCTTCAGCCTTCAGTCTGATGTACGTTTCCGCCATCATATCAATGTTCCGTGCCATAATGTCAATGTCATCGGAGAAGCCAAGGAGCTGGATGGACTTCCTGAATATCGTGTCACTCGTGTCTATCCCAGCTCTTCTGATCACACCTTCTAACGCGATGTTGAACAGCAGACACGAAAGTCCATCACCTTGCCGTAACCCCCTTCGAGATTCAAAGGGACTCGAGAGTGTCCCCGATATTCGAACAACGCACATCACTCGATCCATCGTCACCTTGACCAATCGCGTCAGTTTGTCCGGAAATCCGTACTCGTGCATAATCTGCCATAGCTGAACATATGGTGTGTGGGTACGCTGTATTCGCGGCATTTCTGCAGAACCTGCCGAATCGCGAAAACTTGGTCCGTGGTAGCGCGGGCACCCATGAATCCCGCCTGGTATTGCCCCACGAACTCTCTTGCAAATGGTGACAGACGGCGGCATAGAATTTGGGAGAGTACCTTGTAGGCGGTGCTCAGCAGTGTAATCGCGCGGTAGTTGCAGCAATCCAACTTGTCGCCCTTTTTGTAGATTGGGCATACGACACCTTCCATCCACTCCTCCGGTAATATCTCCTCCTTCCAAATCTTGGCAATTACCCAGTGCAGCGCTCTAGCCAGTGCTTCACCACCGTATTTTAATAGCTCACTTGGTAGTTGATCTAAACCAGTTGCTTTGTTGTTCTTCAGCCGACCGATCTTCTCCTCAACTTCTTGAAGATCAGGGGCCGGTAGCCTGTCGTCTTCTGCGCGTGCTCCAAGGTCTGTTACCGTGCCACCTTCGTTTTCTGCTGCTTCACCGTTGAGGTGCTCGTCATAGTACTGCTTCCACCTCTCAATCACCTCACACTCGTTCGTGAGAAGGTTACCGTCCAAGTCCTTGCACATATCGGCTTGCGGAACGTAGCCTTTGCGCGAACTATTTAGCTTCTCATAGAACTTCCGTGTGTCGTTTACGCGGTACAGATTTTCCATCGTCTCGCGATCTCGGTCTTCCCACTGACGCTTCTTCCATCGGAAAACCGAGCTTTGTCTGTTCCGCGCTTGTTTGTATCGCTCCACATTCAATCTCGTGCGGTGTTGCAGCATTCTCACTCGTGCTGCATTCTTCTCCTCTACTAACAGTTTGCATTCGCCGTCAAACCAGTAATTTCTTCGGTCCGGGATTGCAGTACCTAGTGCCGCTGCAGTAGTACTACCTATTGCTGAACGAATGTCCCTCCAGCCATCTTCAAAAGAAGCTGCGCCAAGCTGCTCTTCCGTGGGTAGTGCAACTTCCAGCTGCTGCGCGTAGTCCTGGGCAACTCCTGCGTCCCGTAGTTGCTCTATGTTGGGTGTTATGCACCGTCGAGAGTTTTGAGCGCATGCATACTGCAACTAGGTAGTGGTCCGAATCTATGTTTGTACTGCGGTACGTGCGGACGTTGATAATGTCGGAGAAGAATTTCCCGTCGATTAGAACGTGATCGATTTGGTTTTCTGTGTGTTGGTCAGGTGATCTCCAGGTGGCTTTGTGGATATCCTTGCGGGGGAAAAAGGTACTTCGAACTACCATACCCCGAGAGGCTGCAAAGTTCACGCATCGTTGGCCGTTGTCGTTCGATGCGGCATGCAGGCTTTTTGGCCCGATTGCCGGTCTATACATTGCCTTACCAGTTGCGAACAGCCGTCGTACACCTGCTCCAGCTGCGCATAGAACGCTTCTTTCTCGTCGTCGGGTCTCCTTTCGTGTGGGCAGTGCACGTTGATGATACTGTAGTTGAAGAAACGGCCCTTAATCCTCAACTTGCACATCCTCGCGTTGATCGGCTGCCAACCAATAACGCGTTGACGCATCTTACCCAGCACTACAAAGCCGGTTCCCAGCTCGTTGGTGGTGCCACAGCTCTGGTAGAAAGTAGCCGCTCGATGACCGCTCTTCCATACCTTTTGTCCCGTCCAGCAAAGTTTCTGCAGTGCTACGACTTCGAAGTTTCGTGGTTGAAGTTCGTCATAGATTAACCTATCGCAACCAGGGAAGCCGAGCGATTTGCAGTTCCATGTTCCGAGTTTCCAATCGTAGTCCTTATTTCGTGGTGTAGGTCTGTGTTGATTGTTCCGATCCGTATTTCTTTCTTCAGTATTTGCAACTTTGTTTTTTTTTTCAAGGTGGCTTGTTGGGCCTGCCCCAACCCCCTGTCTCGCCGGGGGACCATCGTGCACAGCTCTGTTTAGAGTCCCACGCTGGCACTAGGATGGAGACCAGCCGCTCCTAACATGGAGAACAGACGCCGTTTTAGCCGCACCTCCATAGTGAACAGACGCTCGGGTTTGGTGAAGCATTTCCTCTATCACCGTACTATGGTTACCGCGCCAGTGTTCGCGTCGCACCTCTTCATTTTGCTATTGCCGGACTGGCAACATTTCCCAGGCTACGCCACCCAGCTGTGTCCATGTTTCAGCTGGTAGTCTTTTGTTATCATATGACTCGAGGAGGTGTGAAGTAGGAACTTGTGAGGACCAGGGCTAGGTATTCCGCTCCTTCCAGGTTGTCAACTCACCATTTTGTAGCCCAAGAATTTGATTGTCATCGAAACCAAAAAACTCGTCTGCCATTGTTAACGGTTGATATTATGGTATAATGAGCAACACTGCAACAGTAGCAGAAATATCCTCTATTTAGTCATATACCAATACATTAATATTGTCATTGTATTGTAGTTTTAGACTACCAATAGTGTTGCCACAACACGTCTTTTGTAGATTAGAAGAAAAGTTTCTACGGGTGTGTGCAACACTGATTCCTTATGTGTTTGATAAAACATCTTATGACGTAGTATTCATCGAAACATCACCTTGAAAAACTCAGGTTTCGGGTACAGAAAATGAGCGATCATCCATTTATTGGATCGGCCGACATAATTTAATTTGCAGCAAGGGTAACTCAGTTAGGTAATCAATTAAAAATAATCAATTTAAGTTTCATTGATTGTGCGAAATAGACGGATCAGTCAGAAAGCAATAATAAAACTCGAAAGAACAGCTCATGTTTGAAAGAAGGGAAATCTCTATTAAAAGTACGCCAGTGAGCTGGGAGCGCCAGTGGGGCAGAAATGCCATTGTATCTATTCATCATATGCTGTAGAAGAAGTACATAGTATTGGTATTAATTTTGTTATTTTTAGTAAATTACGCATTTCAAAACTATAACTTAAGATTGCTCTAAATTGTTTTTCATTGATTTCATTTTGTAAAATATTAATATTGGGTGTATATGTTTTTTGGGTGTTATATTTTAGTAAAGAAAGAACATCCAATAAATGATGATTTTTCCTTCTTTTTATTATGAGCAGTTCTTTCGTATTTTATTTAAGGTACCAACAGTTTCAAATATTACTCCTTTAGACCTTTTATCGTGATCTATTTTAAAAATATGAAAGAACAGTTTGTGATCAAAAGTAGGGAAAATAATCATTGCGGCCATTATATTACATCCAAGGTCCTGGCATGTCGTATCCGTAGTGTAACCAGCATTCAAAGTATAACACGGCTGGTTTCCATGGTAACACATGCGCATGCATACGTTGTCAGGCTGGGCCCACAGTCTGAGCCCTCGCTTATATTGACTACTATAGTCGCTATATTCATAGTCTGGCGGATAGAATTTCGGGAACCAATTGAACTGTGAAATAACGGAACCAATCGAGCATATCACGACCAACAACAGAAAAGAGCACATCAGGTTTTGCGGCCTAAAAAAAACACTTTTCTCGCGATTCAAAGCAAAGGCAAAACAACATAATAATTTACTTGGGGAACGTTTTCCCTATTCCATGATGCTTTTAATTTGCGTTCGGTTTGCAAGGAATGAACCATATTAGTTTTGATTATAAAATTTGAGCACCTTTTTCATTTGTTGGTCTTCAATATCTTGAATTGGTTCCCTTTTTTGCTAGATGGAATTTCTCTCTGCTAGACTATGAATATAGCGACTATATTGGTTACTACCAGTTGTTGCTTGTAGAGATAGGCATGTCAGTCCCGTGATTACATCAAGTTTAGTAAATTGAATATAGTTGAAAATGTAAGTACAATGATGTTATTTTTAGGCGGTACGTGTTTTTATAACATGCAACAAATCTATCTTGATGACATTTTTCTTGTCCAGAATGGTTAAAATATGTAAAAATTAGGGCTGTAGTACGACAAAAGCAAATAAAAAAATCACGGAAACGGAACAATCTATTTTTCAGGAAAATAGTCCATTCTGGGGATTGGTTTTCTGGGGAAAGGTGTTATTATGGGGAGTGGTTTTATTGAAAATAGTCCATTCTGGGGAAGTGGCCTTCTGGCTTTCGGGGGAATGTCATACAAACACTGAGAATATTTATATTTAAAGAAACAAATAATGTCACCTAGAACGTCACAATTCAAAGTAGTTCTGAAATTACGTTGAAAATTACGATCTATATATGAGACAGAAGAGAGTGGAGTGTCAGTTTTGCCTATGTTTTCATTCTAAAGAACTCTCACAATAATGCATTGTTTTTTTTTCCTTCCTTCCAGTCGACGCCGATGAAATCCGTCGTTTGGGAAAGCGCTTCAAGAAACTCGATCTGGATAATTCCGGCGCGTTGAGCATCGATGAGTTCATGTCCCTGCCGGAGCTGCAGCAGAACCCCCTGGTTCAGCGTGTCATAGACATCTTCGATGCGGACGGAAACGGCGAGGTCGATTTCAAGGAATTTATCCAGGGCGTCTCGCAGTTCAGTGTCAAGGGCGATAAGCTATCCAAGCTGAAGTTTGCCTTCCGAATATACGACATGGACAACGATGGCTTCATCTCCAACGGGGAATTGTTTCAGGTGAGTGTTCGGTAGCTACCGAAGGAAATACCTAAACGACAGCGACACGCGTTCGTTTCTCTACCATTCAAGATTCGGGTGCGCTAAAATTAGTTCTGCGACAGATGCTACTGCTTAGCGCTGCTGATGCTGGCACAGTATAGAATGACTGACTGAGTAATGTTCGTACTATACACACATGTTGTTGGTCTTGCACAGAAAACAGCGCCGGTGGTGGTTTTTCATAAACTTATTCAGGAATCAGGCGCACGTGATTGGAGGCATACGATTCTGCACTGCTCTAAAAATATAAAGTGCGGCAAATGTTTGTTGTTTGTTTTCGTTGTTTTTGATTGCAAGCTTGCAAATATACGTTTCCCTACAGGTAGTACTTTAGTGGAAAGGTGATGGAATATTAGAATTAGCTTTTTTTTACAAAGAAGGAGGGAAATTGAATTGCATGTGCGGTATTCAAATTGAATATATATTTGAGGGGAAAATATCTAATCTTAGACTATGAATATAGTGGCGCCAACACCAAACCGAAGAGGACAAGCGACTACCGACCACTAGCCTGTGCAGAAGAGGTGGCAAACAGTTCTTTCCCCGTTAGTGATTTTTAAAATGTGATAGATGGTTTTAGGCCTTTGGGACACCTTGAATGGATACACGCTTCCTTTAATAGTACACTGACACCACTGACAATTATGGATCATCTAAAAACAATTATGGATCTGCCAGACTAGCGTGATAATCAAATGGAATTAATCCATAATTGTGGGGTCAGTGTACACATCATATTATTGTTAATCTAAATCGAGTTTGCCATCCCGCAGGGGAAGTAACGCTAGTGCTTACGACGTTATTAGCGGCAATATAGCGACATAGCGATACCAGCAGCAAGAAATGTCGCCTTGATTTTCAGTCGTATACACAATACTAATAGCGGTGCCGATGGTGTAGTGGTAACCGTTACTGCGTCTCACTCCAAAGGGCCTGGGTTCAATCCCAGTCGGTGATTTTTTAGTCTTAATATGTTTTCTCAAGCTTCGATTTTGCCTAAACGCATTATTGTTTGGGAATTTAGTAAGCTTTAAGCTCGGGAAACATGACGTTCTAGTTATACATAGTGTCGGAAGTAGTGCGCTGTAATCACACAATGATGCGCTACACAGCGCACTACTTTCAACACTATGTATAACCACAGACAAACAGGCGTATCACTTCATTGTGTATCTTTTCCGCTGTAAGCTGCGGCTTACCTGCCAGCCTATAGGGCGGCCTCGAGCAAGGGTACTTCCCCCAAAGACGTTCGGATTTGGGTGGGACAAAACAACAAAAAGAAATGCAATTTTAGATGTATATTATCTACTTATCTTTGCCCTCTCCTCCTCGCTGTTGCTGCTGCTGCTCTTCGGTGGGGCCCTTCGACGACGGTATGGCGGCGGTTCTGCTGCTACAAAGCACGGACTGTGCTGAGCGGTTTGCTTCTTCGGCTGCTTAGCAGCTGTCCTTAACACTTAGCGGGGGGATGAGCTGGGCTCGTCTGTTGGAACCCCCCCAGCGACGTTGGTGATGAATCACCGGATTGCCTACTCGCCGTAGGCAACCCCGGCAGACACCGCAGTGTTTATGCCCAGGCGAACTCACCTCTGGTATCGCCTGCTTCGTCCTGCTTGACGATTAACTGCGGTGGCGAGACTGGCTCTATTGGCTGAGCCACCGCAGTCAGGACGGCGAGTGTCTACCGGATCCTTTGTGGTTAGCCGGGGAAGCAATTAGCTCCTTAGTGTTAAGCTTCCCACAATGGCGATCCGACACTCTGTTGCACTCAACAACACTAATTTTCGCAGCCACGGGGCCGGCTTCCACTCGCGGTGCACTGGGAAGATGCGTACTGGCACTCGCGTCGCGGCTGGGCAAACTTTTCCCAGGTAAAGTCCGTTTTCTCGGGACTAAGGAAAAAAAACGTCTCCGAACGAAAAACCCGCGTAGACTCCACCGTGGCTCGAACTGTTCTCCCTTCTTTCACAACGTCACAACACCAAAACAAAACCGCCATCGCTCCTGCAACCGCGCTCGACTGTTATGTTGATTATGTTTTTCACCGTCGTCTGCAGCGGGAGGAGAATCAGAACCTAACTTTATTTGAGACGCGATACATTAATAAACGATAATTTTTTCCCTATCTAGCTAAACTAACAAAATAAAAAACCGAATAAAATCTACAAAGAAAATAACAAATTAAAATATTTACATATCAGGCAGTGGTGAGTATGTTGCCGAGCGTGTGACCAAAACAAAAACAAATTATAACAGACAAGACACACGCTCATGGCAAACACGGCAAAAGGGTGGTTTATAATTGTCACCCTGGACGAGGGTTACACCGCGAACTACTCGCCGCAGCGCTGGCATCGGATCACTTTGACGTTTAAATACATTGTAATTTTATGCAATATTGTTTGCGAGTAGCGAGAAAGCTTGTTTTCCGCGAGAAGCCCGAGAGATGTCGTTACTGAGGTGCTATGTTTCGAGATACTATGTTTTCAAGAAAAACCTTTTCAAAGCGTTACGTCTGTTTGTCTGTGGTATAACGTTGAGAACGAGAGTAAAATCGGCTTTCGCTAGTGGGTTGTTCTAGTTTTCAACTGTTTTGAAACGTAGCCACGCATTGGGTAAAGGCCGGTGCACAATAGATACGTTTTCAGGTTTTTTTACAGTTAGCCCATGGATTATCTGTCAAAAAACCCGAAAACGTATCTATTGTGCGCCGGCCTTAACAAGCGTGAATCGAAAACAAAGATGAAGATTGCTTTCTGACCAGGACCACATTTCATGGACCATGACGAGACGAAAGTAATGCTATTTGGGTCTGATGGTATCAATGGTGACCCAAATAGCATTACTTTCGTCTCGTCTGACCAGATCACCTTATTCCAGTCATCATTAGTCCATGAAATGTGGTCCTGGGCCCACTTCAATCTTTTTTTAAATTTTTTTTGCGGAAAACCATGGCTTCTTAAGAGCTACTCTGCCCTTAAGACTTTTCTTATGAAGACGATTTCGTACGGATTGTGATGTCAGCTAAATGGAAAACTCGCTTTCAATCTGTTTCGCAATTTTTGGAGCTCATAGTCCCCGGTCCAGCTCCGCCTTCTTCACGATAGCTCTGTCAATTCGGCCAGTTGTCTTTGAAGGACGTACCGATCGCTTAGCTGGTGAGATAGAACCACGCTTTTTGTACATCTGCACAATTCTAGCGACCGTATCTTTGTGAATCTGGACAATATCGGCAATATCACGGTAGCTTTTACCAGTTTCTTGTTGTTCAATAATCAAATTTCGGATACTGATCAAAATTTGGTCTTTTTTGGGCATTTTGAAACAAATAACTTCCAATTTTGAACACAAAACTGAAATTTTGAGCACGAAAACTTCAAAAGCACAAAATGACAAATAGACACAATTTTTACATTGATAAAGTTGCAGAATACACACTTAAACTATGTAAAACACACTTAAATCATAGTATCCGTTTGGGGGTGGATAAACTTTTTTTGCGTAATTTTTTACCATTTTTCATACCATTTTTACATGAAATCTCAAGAAAAGATATAAACGCCGTATTTTCAATGGCAATGTGATAAATAAACATAAATTGATAAATCATGGCGGAACACTCATAACATTAAACTGATTTTCACCAGAAAAACAAAAAGAAATGTTAATTGGTAGGGGGGTGGATAAACTTTTTTTGCATACTGTACGAGTGCAATCTTAAAATGCTTTTATTTTTCAAATGAAGCACTTTATTTTAATCTGGTTAATGCTACGTTAGTAGAAAACTTAAGGACTACTCAATAGACATATAATATAGAAAAAAATAATATATTTTCAGATTTTTAGGTGTAAACATAGATTTCAGCTTTTCTACCACTGTAGCAGCAACCAGAATTAAATAAAATGCTGCATTTGCATTCGTATACCTCACCGTGGAAAATTTTGAAAACATCTTCACTTTCATATTTAGTACTTCTATTCTCCACGAGTGCCAACTTTGATTTGCCAATAGAAACTAAGCGATTGTTTCAGCCTCTGGCGGTGAATAGGGGAACCCTAATTTAAATAATTTTCACCGTGAAACATAGGAAGAGGGAAATATTTTCACCTTTCTTGATTAATTTATCCACCGCAGGTGCTTTAAATCACCATCCACGTGGATTATTTTTTTTCGTATCAGGTTTGCAGTGATCCCGCTGGTGCTTCCATACATTTTTAATGAGAAAAATTAAGATTTTAATTTAGAAATTAAGATTTAATGTGTGATTATTTCAACTGTAAATCAGTTCAGATCTGTAGATAATCGAAAAATAAGACCAGTCCCGATGGAAATTTGCAAGTTGTGCAATCAAATGTAGATTATTTTGAGCTTTGAAGACCCTCATTATGATGTAAACAAATGAATTGGATGACATTTCCTCTCAAAATCGGCTAGCGCACTCTACATTGACCGTGCATGAAAAGAGCCTATTGTTATTTGTGAGATATCGACGATGGAAGTATCGTCGTTACGAATATAACGTAAGTTACGTTATATCGAGGTATACCTGTCCAACCTTTTACAGAATGTATTACAAAAGTTTCAGAAAATTGGTTTACTCAATTGTAGTCAAGCAAAGATTAAATCGATGATGATAATCGATTATCACAGTTAGGCCTTCATGATTCTGAACACTAGAATTAGTTTTGATTCCTGATGAAAATATGAATTTCACTTTCATTTTTGAGTTTCTATTCCATATTAGGGTGACCAGTGAACCGGGAATTTTAAATCACCGTGAATTTTGATGAGAAACCCGGAAAAATGTACTTCGCCTTCTCTTCGGAAAAAATAAGATATTTGACCTAGAAAAAAAATCGAGTTACTTTGAAGAAATATTTAGTGAATTTTGAAAAAAAACCCTAATAAATTTTACGGATATTTTAGAATGAGTTCTAGGGAAAAATTCCAAAGGAGT